AAGACTGTAATTATGAGCAAACAGCATTTCTGATTTAGGAGAGATGCTGTCCTAAAGGCTTTTTAGGTGAAATAGACCTTGGGCTTCCCCAAATTTAAATTGGTTAAATTTATCTTGTCCCATGAAAAAAGTTGACAAAGAAAGAGGGAGGAGGAGATAAATTACTTTCGCCAAAGCTTTCAAATCCAGAATGTATTATGCAAAAAGGGATTGATAGATCTGTTTGCATTAATATTTTTATATGGCAGTAATGGGGCCATATTTCACTCATACGGTATTCAAAAGGAGAACCTGCTTCCACTTGATTATTGTAAATTAACTAAATCATCCACCTAATCTGAAAGATGATATGGGAAGGTTTTAGGAATCTTCAAGCCACCACATTGACAAAGATTGTACAATATAGACAGAAGGATCCTGTTTTGTTTGGGCTTATTAAAGAAGTGGGAAAGTAGATCTGGTCATTGTAAAAATCAGAATTCAGAAATAGACACTGCAATGGTTTGGAATAGGTAAGAAGACTTAGGGAAAATAGACATTTTAAGAGAGACAATGTGCTGAAACTTGGAGAGTCTGTATTCATACCACCTTTTTCAACATTCAGTATGTTGCAAGAAAGGTTTAAAGTTTGAGGAAATAATATTAGAGGGATAAGTGGGAAGGATGATTCCTAGATCTTTTTAAAAGATGAGGTAATCATAACAGTTGTAAATTAGTGAAACACTTTCTATTTTTGTCACCCCAGTTAATTGCAAAGATACTGAATTTTTTTCTTTTTCATATCCAATTCTAAATTCCAACATTTCAAGAATATGGAGAATTTCTTTAAGGTAACTGGAGACAGCCATACCCAGGTCATCAGCAAAGAACAGCATCATTAAATCTCCCTCCCATTAACTGGTATACCTGGCTAGAGATGTGACGCTTGCAGCCTCTCACTTAGTGAGAAATTGAGAAACAAATCCCCTTTTTAATTTCCCAAGAAAGATTTCTCCATGTAAGTTTTTCTCTCTCTTGAGAAATCCCACAGGAAAACTTATAGAATTTCTTCGATCTTTCATGGTCATTTTTGTTCTGGAAGAAATACTTTTCTGCATGGTATGATTACAATTCCTACACAAAGTGACATCTTTCCTGTGCAAGATTCCCTGGAAAGGGTATTGAGTTGCATTGAATTTGGCAGCTTCTTGCATTAAAAAAAACCACTGAAAAGTTGGATGGATGGATGGATGGATGGTGGATGGATGGATGGATGGATGGATGGATGGATGGATGGATGGATGGATGGATGACATAGCTTTTTTGTGGGAAGCTAGGAAAGATTCTAATGAAGGGAGAAACCTCATAAGGAATCCTGGAAAATAGCTGAGAAAAAGACGTTTTTCAAGTACTCTCCACATTCCCATCTCAGAAGCTAGGAAT